GCTGAAGCTGTCCTGGAACTTGTGATTCTATCCTCCTTGCCTGATCTTCCTGAGTTCCTGGGATGATAGGAGTGTGCCACCACGCCCAGGCATAGAACACAGTTTAGACATTATAGGCCTTTAAAGTATTTTTAAATATCCATATGAGTACTTGATGAACATATCAAATAAATATTCACCAATATCTACCTGTGCCTTACATCAGTGAATGACCAGTTGAACTAACACTGCAATTATAAAATGTCAGAGTCATCTTGGATGCCTCCTTCTCTTGTACTCCCATGTTCAGTATATCACCCCCGGAGTTTTATATCCTAATAACTCTCTTGATTCCATTCATTTTTCTCTATACCCATTGCCTTAGCCTGATGTAATTTGTTGCTTGTTCTACAGTGAAAGAAAGTCAAGATATGAATAGAGGGAGAGTACTAGGCATCCAGTTTGTTGTTTCAGTAACTGTGCAATGAAGTCATTTTATAAAATGAAGAATATCAACTTTTAATATTTTATTATTCTATTTATTTACTATGGTACTAGGGATCAAGCCCAGGACCTCACTCATGCTAGGCAAGCACTCTAACACTGAGCTACATCCCAACCCCTTCTCACTTTATTCTGAGACAGTCTCACTAAGTTGCCAAGGCTGAACTCAAACTTTTGGTTCTTCTGCCTTACCCTCCTGAGTTGCTGAGATTACAGGCATGTGCCACCCCACCAGGCAAGAATATCAACATTTTTGTTTTGTTTTGTTTTTTGTTTTTTCTGTTGGTGCTGAGTACTTTGCCACTTAGCTGGATCCCCAACCTTTTTTTGTCTTTTTAAAATTTTGAGACAGGGTCTTGCTAAATTGCCAAGGCTGGACTCGAACTTACAATTCTCCTGCATCTGCCTCCCTGGTAACTGGAAAGAATACCAACTTTTTATAAATTGAGAAGTTTATGTTTGGATTCAACTTGACATGATTGAGCCATCTATCTTGACAGATAATCTCCTATCCCACTGGTTAGTGTTTAAGGGACAAAACTGTGAACGTTTTTAGATTTTCTTACACACAGACAGTGCCTCTTGTATTCTTTCAGTTTTCTTCTCTCTCTCTCTCTCTCTCTCTCTCTCTCTCTCTCTCTCTCTCTCTCCTTTCTTGTTGCATTGCCTGGGTTGGCTTTGAACGCCTAGACACAAGAGATCTTC